AATGGTATCTCTGTTACATGCAGGAGAAATGATCACTGCGTTGCTGTTAACATGTTCATAACTACAAAATAGTTATATATAGTCACAGTCATATTTTTTGCCAAATGTGTTTGACAAAGAGGCATTCTCCATTTTTGAGTTACCAAAGTAAAAAAATGCATCTAAATTGGTAATCCCTAAATCTGGGAATATCTACCTAAAACCTCAGCTATCCAATATGAAAAAGAGAGAATCTGAAATTTCTTCTCCTATTCAAGACTGCCAGGAGTCACAGTATAAAGCATAACTACTAAAGGAGAAGTTGGCCAAACCAGAAATTTTATAGATGTGTTTGATAAAAATTATTAACCTAAGACAAGGTCAGGATAGTTTTACACCAACGATAAAAGATCACTGCAATGACAAGCAGCATCTAAACTTTATTTTGGGACCTCTACTTCCCAAATAAGTGTCAGTACAAGAGAATTTATGGAACAAGCCTTTCATCAGAGCAGTGCAATTCATCACTTCCATTTTAGCATCTGTGTTGAAATCTTCAATTTTTTCTTTGTAATATAATTAACTTGATAAGCACATAAACTACAAGGATGACCTTATACACTTTGAAGTCAATAAGAGTTTTCTTTCTATCTTCTGTGGAGCAGGATCAGATACAGGATAAGCTAGTCCAGTGGAGTGTTGTTACATGCCAAGGTCTAATGCAAAATACAAATCAGAAAGTCAATCTTCATGATTGCACAGCTTTTAGACTTTACCATAGACACAATTACCCCATTCTTTTCACTTCTTAATAACATCATCACCATTCTTTAGATGTGCTGTAAGAGTCAGAAGTGATTCTCTTTTGGAAAACTGTAAAATAAAATGAACTTTAAATTGGTGCAATTTTGCAGTTTTTGGAAAACAATATCCCTTTGCATATCACTTTCAGTGACTTGAAACCAGAGTTACAATTTCCATTGAAAAACCTTACTGGTTCTTGCAGAAAATAACTGTACAACAGTTTCAAGACAGATAGTTAAAGACATATTTATTGGTCTGGTTTTTTCAAAATAGTTTGATCCATGCTGCCCTGCACTAAACAGAAAATGTTTTTAATTCAGATTTGCCCTTTTTTTTAATTCAAATTTAAAGGAGAAAAATGGCCAGATCTTGGAAATATTTAATGCTCTGCCTTAATCTTTCATACTGAAAAAATGTTTACATTTGGGTCTCATGGGTTAATTTGCTGAAGTTAAATGGATGGTACTTCTCAAAATAATTTTTAATTTAATCTTTCCTTAGAGAAGGAAATACGTAGAAATATTTTCTAAGCCATTCGTCAGCAAGTTCCAGATTAAATTATAGAAATTGACATCTGTGAATTTGGCCAGGGATTTGGAATTTAAAGGCTAACAGAGTGATTTCCCAGGCTTCAAAAGAAATCTTTTCACTTACGTAGCTGTTTAACACTTTTATTAGTGGTGAAGTTCATACAGTTAATCTGATAATATCTGCAGCTGTGTGTTAATCAAGGAAAAGGTGTTACAAATGGATTTGTGCTGAGTCATGTTTAGCCCCAGAAATGCCATCAATCTTAGCATAGTTTGTATTTTGTAATTTACCTCATCCAACTACAACTTCCTAACATATTCTTGAATGGCTCAGAATCCTGGTCTGGATCCCCTGAGAGGCTGCATTATTTTCTGTCCTAAATATACAATTTTATGAAATATATCGTTGGGTAGTGGCCTGCCAAAAGTACCCTGGGTTCCATACAACTGCACTGTAGGTTTTTCTTTATTTCCATGCTCATTACATTCTTTCTGGCAGCATCAGATACGAGCCTGGAATTGACTCTAATGTCTCTGCCAATCTTACTTCACTTTAGCAGGCCAGTTCTGCTCCCAATTACACTGACTTTACAAACATCCATAGTGATGATGGCTGCAATTGAGAAGGTTGTCAGGCATTTACTGCTGTTCAGTGCCATCCATACCTTCTCCAGAGCAGCTAATTGTTTAGCTAATTGTGCTGTAAAGCAAAAGCTGACATAATCACACGCCATTGGTTTCTGATCAGGATAGCTTCAGCATTTTACATTGCCTAGAGTACATCTCCAGTGACAAATTGGAAATATCAACGCTTTATTATTCTAGGTCACTTGGGGAGTATATATTCATACACTGAATATGTAAATCTCATAACTGAATAACACTCCATGCAATGTATTTAAGAGATGTTTCTTAAACTGTCACCAATACTTACTCAGCAGGATGTGGCAACTTCTGTTCATGCTTTGGGTTCCTCTCTCTTCACGATATGAAGTTTCAGAGGCAGTTTAAATGTTTTATGATTATCTGTATAGCAAAAAAAGTGCCTGTTCTGGTCACCTAATGTAAAAAAGGGGAGGAAGAGCCAACAAAATGCAAATTTGACAGTAGGGTGGTCTGTCAGTTTTTGCTAGGGAAGAGGTTCTCCAGCCTCTCCAGTGGAGGTGTCCTCAGTGAAGGATGTGGATCAGGTGCTTTCCCTACCAGCGCTAGGTCAAGGACCTCTTGGAATTACAAATAGTTCATGACTGGGAGGTAGAGAATGGAAAGGAAAATAGGGCAATGGAAATTAGAATTGCATGAATAATGGAGTTTCTTTTTGGTGACCCAACTGAAAAATTAAACCAAGAAAATTCATTTTGGGTCAGCCCAAAGCACTTGTTCAACTCAAAATGAAACAGCTCATTTTGCTTTCAAATCTCTTTTCAACCTTTGAAAGAAATGCACATAAAATTCTAAACCAAAACACTATTTATTTAGAAAAATGTCAAAATGAAACATTTCAGTATGATTTTCCTTTTTTGAGCTGTAACTATCAACTGAATTGAAACCCAGCTTTCCTGAAACTATATTTTTATTTTCTTTTAGTCAGTAATTGTTTGTCCCAGATATTTCCCCCTGTTGTAAGGGAAACCTCCTCCGACTTCGACTTCCTTCATCTGTTCAAAACTGACCATCGCCACCACCCTTCACACACCCACAAGTCACACGTACCCTGCAAGAAAACCTATGAAGGAAATTCTGCAAAATTTGCTCTGTGGCATTTCCAGGGCACCAGCTCATGAGGTTTCCGTGGTAGAGTCTTCCAGCTGGTGGTTTTTAGGGTTAGAGAAGTTAATAATTAGTTGACTTCATTTTTACACTTTTGTGGACAAATGGGTTTTCATTTGGGTTTAGCCCAAATGAAGCATTGGAAAACTTGAGAGACTGATTTGGAATTTCTGGGTAGGGCAGCTCAACAAGGAAAATGTAGAAGAGGCCTAGAGGAAGTAGAACAAGGAAATAAGTTATTTATCCATCTGTGAAGCAATTATATCACAGAGTCCATGTGTGGCTCATGATCTAGTCTCTATTTATAATTAAGGAAGAAAACAGGTACTTTTAGGGCAAAGTCATGTTATGCTGTCAAAAATCACAATCTTCATAAGCTTCTAATGTAGACCAGAGGAATGACACCTGAATAATTCCTCTTACCTTCCACTGACTATAAAGAGAGACAGGCATAGTTTGGGGAAAGACAGTGTATTTCAAAGGTCAGTGAAGTGAACTGCTCATTTGATGTCTGAATTCCCTTGCTTTGCTGTCAGCTGACACAAGCTTGAGTGATAAGAGAAAGGATGTTGGCCAATAGCTCTTGACAACATCACTGCATATTCCACAAGAAAGGAAAGATGTATTCTGCTGAATATAGCAAAAGGTTAAACCCCTGACACTGTCATGTCGTACCAAATCATGGCTGGCTGTCTCTGTTGGGTCACTTCTGCCTTGACTCTGAACAGGCACGTAAATCATATATTGTGAGATGCAAATGAGAGTGTATGGAGAAAAGTAAACCACGTTGAATGCATCTAATTTGACAGGCATCCATCACTCAAATGGATCATATGCCAGTCTAATATGTGATTTCCTACAAGAAAGTGTTACGATTTCAGTTCACATAAACCTTGTTCAAAATAGGTATGGATGGATGCTTTTAAATGCATCTTTAAATTGCTCTGGCTCAGGAGCAGCAATTTTTAAATGTGGACAGAATATCTGTTGCCCTGATGAATAAATAGTAAGGTCTTACTCAAGAACACTTCAGCAGTTGCTGAAAATCTGCTATTACATATCTCCTCTGGCTTTCTGACTTTTTTAACCTTGGTCCAGTCACCAATTTCTCCAGCTGCACTAGAGCAACTCTTCTGTCTTTGCCCAGGAGACATGGCTGAAGGACATGATAATGACAGATTAAACTGTTCTTCAGTGACTTGGGTTGCTTTCTATCTTGGAGCTTGTGTCATGAGTAGGTACCAAACATTCTCTTCTGAAGGACTTTCAAATTCCTAACGCTGTAGAACACCGTTTGTGCTCAGCGTGCCTATGGATAGATCAGTGAGAATGCAGCATCCTAGAGTTTTCACTAGCAACTGCTTCCTTACTGTCTCCATTTCATCTGACCCAGAGGGACAGTCTGGGGCCTTTCACCAGCAGCTATTCAAGATGGGATCTTTTCTCTGGGCATTCTCAGGCAGAACAATGAACCAAACCAATGACTCTCAGGAGTGATGTTGTTTTTCCCACTGCCCCCTACAAGAAAGGCTGATTGACATGCTCCTCGCTAAGCCCTGGCCTGTGATAAGTTGAAATTGCAGCCTTATGGTAAGGAAGCATGTCCCCAAACTGAGGTTGCATGCTTTGTAGATACAAAAGTACAGCCATTAGTCCAGCAACACCACAGGCGTAATGTGTATCATATCCCTTGTGAAAAGAAAAGATAAAAGCTCTGCAAATGGCAATGTTTGAGGACTAAAATATTTATTATAATAAATTAAAGTGCAAGCATTTATAAAATATTCAATTTGCATATAAATATCACACAGCAGTGTTACTTTCATAGTTCACCTAAAACTTTCTGGTACAGTTTCATAAATATATTTCCTTGAACATTTTTCAACTAATCTATATAAATAAAAGTATTGTATAATTATTACTTTAAAATAAGTTACCATTAAATACAAATGACAAAAAAATATTTCTGAATTAGTCTGAAATACCAACTTTTCAGGCAAAGGTCAGAAGAGGACAACACATTCAAGATAGACTTCCAGGCAAGAGGCTCAAAACTTCCTGACTACCTTTAACTACCTACCTTGATCAAAGCTGATCCATAGGTGTCAAATTTCAGCATATAAAAGACAGAAACAGTTGCCTCATTCCTATGGAGATGGGGAGGACAGGAGCGTGCCTTTGAAAATAACTAATGGCCTGTGTTTAAATGGAGCTGCAGTGTCCTGGAGTTTTCATTTTCAAAGAAGGCAGCAATATGCATCCTGTCTCTGCCCACTTAGTTTGCTAGTTTTGACACAAGTGAAAAACATATTGCATCTGGGGGGAATGGGTGTAGTTGCTGTAACAGCTAATTAGTTTGAGTTATCACAAGAGATTTTCAGAGACATCTCTTCAAGCCTGATCTGAAATTTTCTCAGTTTTTCTCCTTGTTCCCTCCCTTCTTTGTGACACCAGTGCAGGCATTTTCCATGTAGTCAAACAGTAAATCCAATTCTCCAATGGCTTTAGTCTTTCCATTTTCTCCCAACTAGAAAAGAGCAGAATGCAAGTCTTAGCAACTCACGATTTCTCAGAAAATTGAAATTAGGATTGTCACAGAAACTGAATCAAGAACTTAACTTTCCTAATTCTCTCACATAGTTCTGTTAGTCATTATGCCATAAGATATAAACTAGCTTGTTCAAATCTAGACTAGCATATACAGTTCCTGCAACATAACTTTTTAAGGTTTAAATTACCATAACATGTGCAGAGTTACCAGGACAAGTGAAGGAGGGTTGGAAGGGGAAATGTTACTAATCCCCTCCTTAATGCCCCTGCAAGCTTCACCTCCTAAATAATCTCCAGAGTTTGTTTCATAGTCAGGTCAGACTTAATCCAACTAAATGATTAGGGTTTGAAACTGCTCTTTTTAAATGTTTGGAAAAAAATGTACCTGTTCCATTTTGTTCTTCATTTGTTCCAGGTTCTTTTCAATGTGCTCTCTGTTTCCTGAGAATTTCTAAAAAAAAGGAAACATCCAGACATAAGATTGACAGCTGTACGCAACAATGTGCTTGATTTTTTTTTCTTTTTCACACCTTTCTATCAACTCTGAGTTTCATATCTTTGATCTGAGGTTTCCTTTTGTATCACTGCCTTTTGCCACTGTTTGTAACATTCTGAGATTCAGGAGCAGCAACAAGAGTCAACACTCGCAGGGAAAGAAACCCAATGTTACTCACACATCTGCCCAGCTCCGAGGTCAGGGATGCCAAGAACTGTGCAACCTCCTCAACATATGGGTACTGATTCTTGACCTCAGTGAGGAGAACATCTTTTACCACAATCTCCACAACCCTCTTCATCAGGTAGCAGCGGTTGTTTTCCTATGTGTGAAAACAAGAGATCATGTTAAATCAAAGCAAGAGATCAATGAGTGCTGCAGAGATACGTAAAGAGCAGACTCCTTGAGTAAGGCTTACCTTGATGTTAACATAGAGCTGCTGCCCAATCAATCTGTTATCTGTGTCCTTGTCCGAGGCACTGGCCTGAGAGTAAAAAAAGGAAACGTCAGATGGGGATGGGAACCTTGCCTAAAATTGAATAATAAACCCTAAGGTCTTCATCAGTAATGAAAGTGCAAGTGAAATGAGGGAATGGATGCCACAGGCAGTCTGTTACAGGTAGATAAACCTGGATATTGTGTCTGTTTCTCCCCTCAATTGGATGTGATTTAAAGTCAGTATCACTGGAAAATAAATAAGCAAAAGTCTGAATTCATGTCCCCCTCTTAAACATCCGATGTCGTAGTGGTTACGATGACTAAATCAGATGCTGCAGGTGGCCGACCTCGCGGTGGCCCACAGTGCTGCTGGGAGGTGCTACAGCCTTCGATGGTGTACACTGTGGGAGACCCACCCATGGCAAGAGCAGCCAAGAAACCCGCCCAAGCAGAGCACTGTAAGATGCCTGAGCATCTGCCTGGCCGTGACTGGAGTCATGGACAAGCCCAGCTCCAAATGGACTGGGCAAATTGAGAAATTTAATCTCATGTTTCACAATTGTCCCGTTTTAGCACCAGCTGCTTGAAGAGAAGGAGCCATGCTGTTCCAGGGGCTTCCTTTCCTTTGGGGACCAGGAGCAGGAGGAGGAGAGGCAACAGCTTCCCCTGCCTACACAACCAGCAGGTAACAGACCCACTCCACACACCCAAGCTCTGCCTTAACTGCAAATGCACATTTTTCCTCTGGAGAAAGGCATGGTAAATAGAGAGCAATGCCAAAGACTAGAAGCCGGGACAGAGGAGTAAGTCCTCAGATCCCACTATGAAGAATATGTGGGTTACTGTACCATTTTAGCCAAGGTGTAGGTGCGATTCCTAATGTAGGGCTGCTGGAAGTTGATCTTCCTGAGCCTGCAGGCATGATGGGCAGTAGAAGCCCCTTTCAGAGGCAGAGAGCTGGTGAGAAGAAGAGGGAGACAGCAACAGAAGAAAACCCATCCTGGGAAGCTCTTGGACAAGGTCTGCAGGTAGGCCATGGCTCACGGTCCGAGCTCGTCCGTTCCAGCAGGCTGCAGCTACAGCACTCAGCACTGATGAGAGAGAGCAGCGTTAGCATCAGGGAGAGTGGGCAAGGCAAAGTGAGAGCAGCACAAAGGCTGCAAGCCTTACCTTTGCTGTGATTCTTGATGCACTCTGCAGGAGGTGACTGCACCTTATATAGGGCCAGCAACATCTCTCTCAGCTTTTTTTTCTTTTTTGGGTACTGGTGGTGAAATAAAAATGACATCAGCAAGTCTCTTACTTTCCAGTATCCTCTTCTGAGAACTATCTAACCACCTCAAAACCCACAAATACAACTTCAAAGGGCATCATAATCCTTAGTTTCCTATAAAACAAACCAAATATTAACGTGGGGTAAAGCAGGGGCTTTTACCAGGGTAGGAATCCTGAATTCTTTTTGCATAAAAATATTTGAGAGCTTTATGAGTTTGCGCCTCCTGTCCCAATTGTAACGCACTTATTTGATTGACAATTTGATAGCAGATAATGTAACTTATCTAAACTTTTGTTCATCTTCTGTGGTAAAAGACTGGTGTTTCTCTGCTGCTGACTGGTGTACACAAGTAGTCAGAGACTGCAAAAGACCCAAAGCACTGACCACCTATGGTTCCTACCCTGCAAATACCCTTTCCCACACAGTGGCCCACTGGGTCACTAGCCATCTGCCCATCACTGTGAAATCCTCTCTGAGAGATCAGAAACTGTGTAGGACCAACACCGCATTTTTCACATCCCTGATTTCCAAATTCCTGTGTTTTTTTTAAAAATTATCCATATTCCAGGCTGTAATCATGTGCAATGACCAGACCTGTGGTCATGTCCTTTCTTATCCAGGTGATTTCCATGTTCCTAAGCCTCTTCTGGTAATATTAAGGTAGTTCTGCACCTTCAGTTTGAAATACTATGAACAGTGTTAAAGAGAAACAGTGCTCTTTTTAGAGAGTAAGTTGCAACCCAGCTGTAGACAGCAGTGCATGAGAACACAGAACTGGTACAAATGCCAGCTCCTGGTTGTATAAGGTTGTACAAGGTTGTACAAGGCACAAAGGAGACAAAGAGGAGAAATCAGACCTGGAAAACCAACGCTTCAGCTCTGCCTCTGAGAGTGAACATCTGAGAACTCTGAGAGTGGGCATCCCTGTGGCTGGGCTCAAACCTTTGCGGCTGAGGTTCCCAGGACAAAAGCCATAATCAACCTTACCCCATGGTCTGAAATGCCCAGCTCTTTTCCTTAAGAAGCACTTAAAGGCTAGGTGGCACTAGGTTTATTCTTTAGCCTCCTCTGATACATCTGCAGCAGAAATTCATCTTTCCAGGTCTCAGTCCTGCCTCAGTTTCCCTCGGACACCTGCCACATCAGCTCTGCACAGATCTGTGCCCATGAAACTGCACCCTCTCACCCTGGAGCCACCATCAGCCCCTCCCTTTCTGTGCCACTTTCAGGTTCCCATTCCCATGACCAACCTCCAACAGCATCCTGACTGCAGCAGGCAGCAGAAAGCAAGTCTGGACCCAGGATGTCAACAGTCTCATTCACACCCAAATGTAACAAAAAGCTATTCAAGAACATATTTCTAAACTCTTTTCCACATATGTTTCATTTGGAGGCTAATAGTCCTAGTGGTGGTGCAAGTTAATGAGAAGATGAAATGCTGAGTTGTACTTTACTTAGCCAAAAGACAGACATTAAAGACGAAATTGTGAGAAATCCTGACAGATAGGCTGTTTCAAAGGATTGGCCTCCTCTGAAGCGCATTTCCACAAACTCCTCTCCAGGTTTTAAATACAGCCTGATAACCAAAATCTATTTCTAACTGAGGTTTCTCACACTTCTCCATCAGCTCATCCATCACAACTGAAGTGCCATACCCAGAATAAAATCTGTGAACAGGCATTCAGACCCTCCCTGGTTCAGATTCCCTGTTCTCATCTTTCTGGCACATGCCACCTCTCCATCCCTTTGGCCACTTACTCTTGTCAGACACAGATCTAGCTTGCCTTATGTCTTCTTGTGGCTCCAATCCCACGGAAAGGGTGCATGACCTAGGTAAGTAGGTGCTGTGCCACTCTCATCTCTTCAAACCACTGTGAGGAGCCCTGCTGGTCCCAAGCTTCCCATGCATCCTGATGGACATATAAACAACATCAGGCAGATGAATGAGGAATTAGACGTTGAATCTTTCTTCTGCCCTTTTTTATGCAGTCAATGCAGGATGTCTTTTGTCTGTCTTCTCTATTATTTGAAACCATACACTATGACACACCTATTTTCATAGAAAACCTTGTTAGCCTTGATAAAGCTCTCTTTCTCCCATCTGTATCGTTAGCCATCTCTCTGTCATGCTACTTTTTCGTTGTGTCATGATGTTTTCCTTCTGATACTTTAGAAAAGCTTTGTTTCAGTTGTTTAGTTTACCTTGTTACTTCTGTTATCACCTTTATTTTCCACACACTGAGATGCTGAAGTACATATTGTAAGTTCATTAATTCGTGTTCTGCATGAATTTTTTTTTTATGACATTTCTAAAGCCTTTGCATTATTTAACTTTCTGTTAGTGCTTACTGTGCTTACTCTAGTTTACTGTGAGTATGGTCCAATGCAAAAACAAACAGTCAAAACCTTACTGGACACTAATTTTAGCATGCTCGTCAGTCCTTTCCTGGCCTCTTCTCAACCGTCTTCTACCAAATGACTATTGGTCCTGGATGTACCACAGAATTATGGTATAGTCGCAGTCATGGCTGCTGCTATTTCCTGCTACATGTCAAAAGAATTTCTTTGGAAGTGTGGATATGCCTCCCATTCCCGGGGTCTTCTGTTATGAGATTGCATAGAAAGAAAATGTGACTTGTCATGGCTATCACCTCTTTTGACTAGCTCACCACACCCTGCATGGGAGATATGAATCCAGCATTACATCCTATGTAAAGATGGAGCTAAAAACCTGCACTACTACTGGATCATACTCCAGTCCTCAGAAGTCCTAAGAAAGAGGAAAGAATATAAAGATTTTCTGCTAACATTTGAGGAATAGTTTCTTTTTCTTCTTGTTTGAGAAGGAAGTACAATCAACTTCTGAAAAATAAGGTCTAAGTGCTAAGCCAGTACTGAATGTGAACTTCAGGGAAATTGCTTCCTGACCAGGCTACTCTGAACTGTAGAGCTGGCAGGAGAGAGACCAGTGGAAGGAAATCTCCCTTTAATTTAAAATGTGGTACTCTGGCTGAAACCATCACTGGTGGGTCTTACTCTGGGGAGAAAGAATATACCGGACAAAATATATCTTAAGAACAAGGGGGAAGTAATTTCCCATTCTAATTTTATGATTTTTTTTCTAGGTTTAATGATATTTTTAATGTTTAAGGCTAGTAGCACCATTTAAAGTACAAAATTCCTACAAGGAAACATACCTGTTATGCTTTCATTTTAATTAAAAACTACCAAAGACATTCCATCTTCTATAAAATACCCTCTTGCGCTGTTTTTTTAAGTATAATTAATAAAAAAATAATTTTGAAAATGTTCACAGGTCATTTTTTTTCCCTGGTACTGTTCCAAGAGTTAAATGTCCTGTCAGTAAACTCACCTATAAACATTTAAAGTTTGTTTCCCAAATTCATTAAGAAACTACAGTGGTAGAATATTCTCGACAATGACTTCTTGACCCACATTGAAAACAGGATTTTTTGAGGATGACTGGAACTCTACATCACATCTGCCTCAAAAGCCACAGACATTTCCTTCTGACTTTGAATGAGGCCACAGGTGAATAACCAACACTGTACTTTGATGTTCAGATGTTGAGTATCAGCAGCAGCACACCAGCACGCAGGAATTTCCTTGAGCTTTAGTACACTTTGAATCAGCCAGGATTATACTGCATTATTCGAAAAGTCAGAATTGGCCACTGGGCTAGAAACACTGCCAAGAGTAGGCATGTGAAAGAGTGAGCCTGTGCATCATCCTGTTGGATCTTCTATTTGGGGATGCAATTCTCCCCCCTTAAACATTTGTGTGAATGGACCACAGGTCACCTAAAACTGAACATGCAATTTCAAGTTTCAGGTCACACTCATACACTTATTTTGCTCCACCTCATTTGTGAGCTAGTTGGCTGCATTTTATTTTAGTTCTCCTCAGCTTTTGCCCAGACTTTCAAGCTTGCAAAGATTAAAGCCAACTATAAAAATGTTTCAGCTCAAGCTCCAGTAAAGTCGTATTTTAGTCAGCTCTCTGCCCAGCAATGAAAACATCAGTAATGGAACTTGATTCTTCCTTATAAAACTTGAAAATAAGCTTTTCCGTAATCCAGCTATTCATTACGGAAATGTCCTAGTACACAGACAAATGTCTTCTGTGTATGATCACTAGGAATGGTAGAAGGAATTCAATTTCTGTAGAGAAAATTATATCAACACAGAAACTGGGAGAGGACATGTAGCATTTCATCATTATATTTTTGCTTGTTTTTTTTTCTTTTTTTTCATACTAGGTTTAATATTAAGAAATTGTGAACCTCTTGGAAGAAGGAGGAATAATACTAAAATTGCTTAGCCTGGGAATATTAGGTGACCAGAAAAGACTCTGGTGTCAGCTCTCAGTAGAAGCACTGCTGACTCAGGACTTTGGAGAGGATGTACAACTTCCTACCTGCCCTGATAGTAACATTTTTGTAACACAGAGTAATACATTTCCTCTGACAGTAACAGTTCAGCTTACATATTTGATATTTCATCAGAGATCTTTGTCTTTGACCTTCACTTGGTTTTATTATATAATTTTTAGGTCTTCTAAGTATAAAATACTATATAGAAAATATCATAAAACTGGTATTTCATACCATAAAACATCCAAGAGGAAAGGAACTAATAGTTCATTGTGGCTTCAGTTTTAAGCTACATCCTGGGACAAAAAAACAAAACACACCATCACCCCCACCCCCCCAAAAAATCCACTACCAAACAAAACCTCCTT